GACTGTGTTTTGGTGATACCCAACTCTGCTTGTTTCTGGATCTGTGCTCAGGGATCACTCACTCCTAGTGGGGCTTGGAATCATGTTGGGATATGGGGTGCCATGGATTGAACCTGGGTTGGCCACATGAAAGGTAAATGCCCTACCTGCTTTATTATCACTTTGGCCCCAGAGATTTTTTTTTAAATCCTACTTATCTGTTTTTAGGCATTTGGTTTGTTTTCAAATCTTGGCTACTGTGAATAGCACTGTTATGAACTTAGGAATGCAAGTATCTGTTTCAAAGTATCATCTTAGGGAGAGATGCCAAGAAGTGATATGACTGAGTCATAAAGAAGCTCAATTCTTTTTTTAAAAAAATTTATTGAATCACTGTCAGATAGTCACAAACTTTCATGTTTGGGCTACAATCACACAATGATCAAACACCCATCCCTCCACCAGTGCACATTCCCCACCACCAATATCCCCAGTACACCCCCCCTTTCCCAGTCTCCCCCTGCCTTCATGGCAGACATGATTCCCTATAATCTCTCTCTACTTTGGGGCATTATGGTTTGCAGTACAGACACTGAGAGGTTATCATGCTTGTTCCTTTATCGACTTTCTGCACACATCTCCCATCCCGACCAATTCCTCTAGCCATCTTTTCCTTAGTGATCCTTTCTCTATTCCAGCTGCCTTATCCCATTTGCTCATGAGGCACGAGAAGCTCAATTCTTAATTTTGAAAATTTATACTGTTTACCATGGAAGTCAAAATTTATGACATTTCTACCAACAGTGGATGAGAACATTCTTTGCTAGCACTGATTGTTTCTATTCTTTTTGATGTGTTCCAATCTCACTGGTGTGGATTGATATCTTTTTTTTACTTGCATTTATTTAAATACTTTTAAGTTTAAAATAGAAATACTATTTAAAGATCACTTCCTGAAAAGTGATACAAAACTCATTCAAGTGAGTGTGTTCATATCTTTTTTTCCACCTGTACTCTTTATATTATGCAGAACAAAATATTTAAAGACCAAAACAGCAATGGACATCTTGGCAGCATCACTTAAATCGCTTCACTTAATTTCCCGTTAGTCGTCGATTTGCTCGAGCAGGCGCCAGTAACGTCTCATTTGTCCCTGTCGCGTGCTAGTGTAGCCCAATGGCATCTGTTCGCTCCGGGAACATGAAGGGCCTCAAACCGATCGTTCATGATCTTGACGAAGAAGTCTGACAATCTGGTAGGTGGGCGGCCACGCGGTCTTTTGACAACCTGTGGAATCCAGTCGGTAACAGCTCTAGTCCAGTGGTCATCTTTAAATCTCATTACGTGACCAGCCCATCTGATTTTCGACACCTTGGCAAATGAGACAGCGTCCCTGATTCTTGATCGTCGACGGATGTCAGAACTCTGGATTCTTTCTCTCATTTGAGTGAAACGTGATATTCCAAGCATAGCTCTTTCTATTCTTCTTTGGGAGACCTGAATAGCGTTCTCATCTTGTTTGCGTAGGGCCCAGGTCTCTGAGGCATATGTTAATGCAGGAAGAACAGTGGAATCAAAGAGATGTGCCCGGAGCCGGAGGTTCTTCGTCCTCTTAGCTATTTCTTCAACGTTCTTGAAGGCATTCCAAGCCGCTCTCTTCCTCCAGCACAGCTCAGGTGCCAGGTCATTTGTCATGTTGACCTCTCGACCTAGGTACACATAACTGTTGCATTCGGAGATGGTCGTTCCGTTGAGAGTGAATGGGGCGTCAGGAACGAGGCTGTTTCTCATAAACATTGTCTTCGTAAGATTCAGCTGTAGTCCTACCTTTCCACACTCACGGTCAAAGTCGGCCAGCATTTGTGCCGCTTGGCTGATGTTTGGTGTTATTAAAACAATGTCATCAGCAAAGCGGAGGTAGTGTAATTGCCGACCATCTATCTTCACTCCCATTCCTTCCCATTCTAGTCATCGCATGATGTTCTCGAGGGTGGCACTCAAGAGTTTCGGTGAAATGGTATGACCCTGCCAAACCCCTCTCTTGACATCAACGATCACTTCTTTGTAGAATGGTCAGATCCTGGTAGTGAATCCGCAATACAGCTCACGGAGGATCCTGATGTACTGGGCTTGAATGCCCTGATTGGCTAGGGCTTCAATGACTGCTTCCATCTCAACAGAATCAAAGGCCTTCTTTAAATCAATGAACATTAAACAGAGTGGCATCTTGAACTCCCGAGAAACCTCAATGAGCTTGGTTATCGTGTGGATATGGTCGATGGTGCTGAATCCTTTGCGGAACCTGGCTTGCTCGCATGGTTGTCCTTCATCTATTGTTCTGCCAATCCTATTTAGGATGACTCGAGTGAACAACTTGTAGATGACAGACAATAGGCAGATCGGGCGATAGTTGCCAATGTCATGGATGTCTCCCTTCTTGAACAGTAGTACAGTCCTGCTGGTTTTCCATTGGGACGGAACCTTGCATTCAGACAGGTAGCTAGTGAAGAGCCGAGCCAGTGTATTGATGAGTACTGACAGCAGGTTCTTCAGGTGTTCAGGTCTGACCTTGTCTGGGCCGGGTGCTGTTTGTTTCTTTACCGACGAAATGGCGTGTCGGATTTCGGAAGGGAGAACGTTGGGAATGACATATCCATCTTGTGGAATTTGGTATGTCGGCAAGTGGACATGGCTATCAAAGAGATTTGAGTAGAAGTCATGGATAATGTTCTCCATTGCTGTTCTGAGGATGTGATGGATCCATCAGGACGTCGGAGGGCAGTCATCTTGGTCTTGTAGTTGGCGAAGGACAGGCAGGTGTTACGAATACTTTTCCCGGCTTCTGCTGCATTTACCAGTACTTCTGCTCTTCTCTCTTTGAGGTCTTCCTTGACCGCATCTCTGCACTGCTTTGTGAGCTCGGACGTTAGCTTGCAGTTGCTTGAGGCATGCGCCAAACCATGCTGGCGAATTAGCTCAAGAGTTTTCGAAGATAGGCGATTTTTTGTGGCTATCTCTCTCTTGGCGTTCCTTGCACATTCATGGAGGTGCTGAACCAGTCAATCGTATTCCTCGTCAATGTTGTCAACAATGGCATCTTCCCATGTTGCCGCAATAGTACCAAAGAGTTCCCAGTTGGTGGTCATTCTGGGAGTTCTCTTTTTGAACTTTGCAGCCCTTTCTCCCCGCTCTGTGAAGTAGAATTTTGCACGAAGGAGACGGTGGTCCAATCCCGTTCGAAATTTTGGGACAACAGCAACATCAGTCAGGCAAAACCATCGATTGAATATGATGTGGTCTATTTCGTGGTGGAATCGTCCACCAGGAGACTCCCATGTCCATCGTTTAGATTCTGCCTTCTGGAACTGTGAGTTACCATGAATGGTCTTGGTCGACATGATGAACTCAGACAGTCTCTCATCCTGTTCGTTCCATTCTAGGCCACGGGTCCCGATGTGAAGTTCTTCAGCTGATCTTCTCGGTCCTACATTGGCATTAAAATCACCCACAATGATCTTGTAGAAGGTGTGGTCTTCTTTATAGAACTTCTCCAGCTCCATGTAGAACTTCTCAATTTCTCCTTCATCATAATTGGATGTTGGTGCGTAGACAACGAAGATAGAAACTGCAGGCAGTGAGTCACATCTATTCAAATGTAAACGTCCGATTCGTGTTGTTAGGCATTCGAATGAATCAATGCTCTTGGCCAAGTTTGTGTTGACAAGGACACCGACACCTCCAACCCCTCTTTTATTGCATGTTCCGAGGAACAATTCTTCTCCAGTGTCGAAAACGGCATGGTGAGATTCGTGCCTTCTTGTCTCGATCAGACCAATGATGTCGAACTTGATCATTCTCGCTTGTACCATCAGGTCCTCGATGGATGCATCTGATGCTAGCGTACGTGCATTTAAAGTACAGACGATCATTTTTGTCTTCCTTCATTGTGGCAGCCTAGGTCGGCCTTGAGATTTTGTTGGCCTCTCCTTTCTCATCCTTCTCAGTGCTGCCATGTCGGTGAAGCCTTCAGGGTCAGGTGAATGAGACCAGTTGTAGTTACTGGTTTTGGCATATCGAATACACAACGGATAGCTTGCCAGGCTCTTCCGTGCGGGCGGAATACTCTTGGTAGCTTGCCAGTCTTTCCAAGAGGGATAGAGGCTTTTGGGGCGACCTCTAATCACCCTTGTAGGTGTTACCATATTTGAACCCTATCAAATACGGTATGACAATTCCGGAAGATGGGTATTTAATGTCTTATTATGTGTCGCGTGGCCGCTTTGTGGCCGCGCGGGTCCGGAAAGCATCCTGGAGTGTGGCAACGGCTGGGTAGTGGGAGTAGTGTTGATAGTGGAACTCTGCCAGTGGGGTATTTATCTGGGTAGGGTGGGTCTCCTGTGCGCAATTCGATCCCTGAGTGGTTGATGGAAACAGGGCAGGGTAGGGTGGGGCTCCTGATTAGAATCCCTTTGTCACCTGTGGTTGGTGGGAGCAAGCAGAGAAGCTCTGTCCCTGGGTCCGCCGAGCCTGGAGTCCAAGGTCTCAGAGAGTTCCGCTTATCTTGTTCTGTGGGTCTTCAGTCGTGCGTGGGTCTCGGCCGGAGCTGCCACGCGGGTAGCATAGAAAGGTATAATCAAAACTCTATCATGTTGATTCCATAGTAGTATAACAGGCACCACTGATAATGGTGGTGGGATTGGTGCTGGAATATTGAATACCTTTAACAAATCATTATGAAAAACTTTGTAAACCAAGTGTTTAAATAAAGTGTGTGTGTGTGGGGGGGGAAACAGGCAACACTGTAGAATTTTTGGCTTCTCCAGTCATATAAGGCTCATAAGGGAAGTACAATTCTTTTCCTCTCCGAGATAAAGTGATATTTTTCGAGGAGAAACCGTTCTACTTGGATAAAAATTAATTTTACTTACCATCCATCCCACTCAAAACCATTGTTAAAAAACTTTAAAATATAGTAAGATAAAGATAAAACTGATTTTGGATACAGACTCAGTTTGGATATTTAAAGTTTATTTAGTATCCAAAATATCTCGGAATGTTCACATGAACACTTGAAGGAAAGGCAAAGTTCTAATTCACTTAACATCAGAAGTAACAGAGCAGTTTTACATTGTCATTACTATTTTTTAATTTTAGATTAGTATTAATTAACTGATAGGATATTTATAAACATAGAGCAATCAAGAAATTTTATACATAAACATTGTGGTTCAAGTTAAGTTCATTAAAGTTTAATAAATATAAAATGTATACTATCCAGAGGTCATAAGAGGTTACACTATAGCTCTAATTGTAAAGCGTTTTCTTGCTTATCAGCACATTGAAGCCAGCATGTACTATTGGTGGCTCTTACTTGAAAGTGGTTTAACTAACACAAGTTGCAGCACTGGTGCCAATGTGTTAGTGTTTTAGAGGTAACTGAAAATTTACAAAACAGTGAGATCTTACTATTGAAAAAACTGCAGTCACTCAAAAATTACAGCTGGGTGCAGCAGAAAAATGAGAACACAGACGCCTAGAATACAACATGGGTGCCAGGAGGCAGGCAACATTTAAGCTGACATTTGTAGGAGTGTGGTTGATCTGATGAAAAGTGTAAGGAGGAGAGAGAACAGATTTCAGAAAGAGGTTGTGGGGAGCAATGCAAAGACCCTGGGGTGAAAGAGAACATAGTCGACTTTACAGCAGTGATTTCAAATGAAAGGACACCTCAGAGAATTGTTGAACAAAAAATGATTTCTTTTTACCCATTTCCTAGTGTGGAAATTAAGACAGTGCACCAAATGTTTCAAAGCCAAAACGGTTCCATATTAATAGTTCAGTTTAAGGTCATCTTTTCTGGCACTGAATCAGCCTCTTTTTTATCCAATGTTAATGACACTAATGTTTTCTACATATTCCTATGGTTGATAGGCTGTAAAATCTAAAAATCTGAGGTGCTTCGTTAGTGCAGAAGGTCACATGAAATCTAAATATATGGGAATTCCCGCTGAAGAAATTAATAAACTACTTAGTGTTGTTTAATATGATTAAGGGTGAGTGGGAAGAGGGACAGCAAGTGAGTAAGCTGAAGAGAAAAGCAAGAAGATAGACCATGAAGGGCCATGCAAAAAATAAGGACTTTATCCTGAGTCATGTAAATGATTGTAAATCAGAGAAGTGAAATTGCACTTACACTTGTAAAAGATCAACCTTGGGATGATGTATGTAGAATGCACGTTTGGTGGCACAAGACATCAGGGAGGTAGGCCAATTAGGCAGCATGGTAGTACTCAGTGCTTAGCCAGGAAAAAGGAGATCACACCTGAAATTAGGGCTGAATCAGTGAGGCTTTAGAAAAGATTACTGCAGGAGATAACCTTACCAGAACTTGGTGATGTGTTACAATGGGCAAGGAAAAAATAGCTTTCAGTCAAGGCTGGTGTCCAGGTTTTTGTCTCAGAAAACAAAATTAGTAACTGTGTTATGGAGCTACAGAATATAAGAAAAGAATTCTTCTGTGGGGAAAGGAAGTGAGCTCATTTGGGCATCTATCTTTGTGATTAAAGATCGATTGGGCAAACTGGCTACATGGGGTCGAGCACATAAGAGAAAGAACTGTTCTTCAGATAAAAATTTTATATCCAGATAAAATTTTTTTATATTTTTATTTTTTATATTATTATTTTTATTATTTATTTATTTTATATCCAGATAAAATTTTTATTTTATATTCAGATAAAAATTTTATACAGACATAGTAATCAAAATCATAGAAATGGATGAACTCCCCCTCATCCCCACAAATGTAATATATTTAAGAAGAAAAGTGGGCCTAGGATATTTTTGGAAAGGGTTGGCAGGAGATAAGCAATACCAAAAGAAGCCAGAGGAAGACAGGGAGGTAGGAGAAGATCTAAGAGAGAAAGGTTTTACACAAATTAAGGGAAGATCATTTCCCGGAGAGAGTAGGCAATGGTGTCAAGGGTTGCAGGAATCGTTTGAAAGAAAAAAATGAAATTAGCAACAAGGAGGGTTAAGGACTCTGAGAAGGGCAGTGGAGAAGGAAGTCAGGTCACAGCATGTAAATCACCAGGCAGGAAGTTCTTTTGCTTAATGTGACGAAAAAGGAAAGGAGAGGAATGAGCCAGCAACTGGTTGGAAAGAGAGATTTGAGAAAGAGGCTTTTTGTTTTATGAAAATAGGAGAGTCTTGGGGTCAGAGAGGGATAGAGTACAGTGGACAGGTCATTTGTCTAGTACCAGCTGACCTGGGTTCAATCCCTGGCATCCGATATGGTCCCCTGAGCCTTGTCAGGAGGAAGCCCTACCTTTTTTGATTTTTAAGAAAGAAAGAAGGAGAAATAGGACAGGCTTGCTCATTGATACTACAGAGATTGTTGAAAGACTTGTTGCAAGTGCAGATAATCAATTGAAATTCAAATAAATATTGGAAAATAACATAAAAGATTATAATATAGAAATCTTTAAAAGGTAAAATCTTTAAAATATTTATAATATAATTAATGTACTGTCACTGTCACTGTCCTCCCGTTGTTCATCGATTTGCTCCAGTGGGTCCAGTAACATCTCCATTGTGAGACTTGTTGTTACTGTGTTTGGCATATCGAATACGTCATGGGTAGCTTGCCAGGCTTTGCCATGTAAGCAATACTCTTGGTAGCTTGCTGGGCTCTCCGAGAGGGCAGAGGAATTGAACCCTGGTTGGCTGGGTGCAAGGCAAATGCCCTACCCACTGTGCTATATAATATAAACATTATCTTTTGATAGTGTTTCCATAATCTAGTTATAACACTCCCAATGTATTCAAATACATTTAAGAATGTAGTATGATTGACAAGCCAAGCAATTCTCCAAGGAAATCTCATTTTAAGATATTTTAAAATGACATTTTAAATATTATGCCAGTTTTAGCCCTTGTCCATAGAGGTCATACTCTTTAAATAAGAGATATCTTTGAATAATTGGTGGTAGAGGAAGTTTCTCCATTGAGGCTGGTTGGCAGAGTTGCTGAAGCCCCAGACATCTTCGAATTTTTAATCGACACAAATGCTTCAGTGAACGAGGATTCTCTACAATGAAAAGGTCAGACAAAGGATAAAAATTAATATCAGTGAATTGATTTATAATATATAGACTAGCTTTTGAAGAAATATTATGTCATTCTGAAAACTAAGTCTGCACAATGTAGCAGTTGGTGACATCAAATGAGTCCATATTGTATTAAAGCATTCCAGGCCATTACTCTAGAAGACAATGAAAGTTCCATGAAAGTATTTCAACAGTCTGAGTCAGAAGGAAATCTGTTTTATAGTGGGTATTCAACTAGGTTATGTTAGAGGAGTGAATGGATTTGAAAAAAAAAGACAAAGCTGGGCTAGGAGATAGCTCATGTGGTATCAAGCCCAAGACCTTGGTTCATTTCCTGGCACCAAAATGCTCCCCAGAGTGGCTGATGTGATCCCCCTATAAATATAAAGAAACAGCTTTACATGTATCAATTTCCTTTTTTAATAAAAATTTATTTATTGAATCACTATGAGAAAAGTTAAAAAGCTTTCAGGTTTAAGTCTTGGTCATACAATGATCAAACACCCCTCCCCTCACCAGTAATTATTTTCCACCACCAAGAACCCCAATGTAACCCCCACTCCCAACCCTCCCGATGCCTGTGAGGCAGATGATTTCTACTTAACTCTCTCTCTACTTTGAATACATTCATTATTTCACATGTCTCAATTTCTGAGTTTGATCTCCAGAAACACACACACACACACACACACACACACACACACACACACACACAACACTTTAAAAATAAAAATAGTAAAATGAAAGCAAATGCTCATATCTCTCATTTATTTTTTGTAACTAAATGCTATAGAGACATCATTCTTTCATTTTGTTTTATGCTTTTTGGGCCATGCCTAGTTGTGCTCAGGGCTTACTGCTGGTGAGTTCAGGGGACCTTAGATTGTGCTACAGATTGAATCCAGGCTGGCCTCGTACAAGACATGCACCCTCCCATTGGACTATCTCTTCATCATTCTTCCTTTCTCTCCTACCAATCTTTCTGATAAGTAATTAAGTAACATTTGATTCAAAAGAGCCCTTATTTCCATAACACAATCTTGGTTGTCTCAGTGTCTAATACTTAATAATAATATGTGTGTACAGATATATAGGAATAGATATAGATTTTAAATATACAAAATTTAATTAACCCTCTAATGTTAGCCTTTGCTTTCACTTTGTACTTCAATCATAATACAGTTCTAATCACTGGCTTAGATTTGAGAACTAGATGCAGTTGGTATGAGATTCTGGCTCTGCCACTTAGCATTTGTGTGACCTTGAACAAGTTATTTAGCCTCCAGGATCTCAGTATGCTCACCTGTGAAATATGTATAACAGTGATACCTCCCAAAAGGGTTATTTGAAGACCAAACAGATTAATTCATGTGAGGTATTAAAAAAGTATTTATTACCCATGACAGTGCAATAATGGGGAACTATTATTGGCAATAATGGGGAACTATTACTATGGATTCAGTAATAAAATTAGATTTCTATTATATTTGAGATTATAAACATTCAGATAACCTTTTTTAAAAGTTTTTTTTAAATTACTGAGGAAAAAATACTTTTGAAAATAGGTAGAATAAACTATGTTTCAAAAACTTAATATTTCAGTTTTTTCCCTAAAAATATACTGCTTGGAAAACATAAATGATACTTAGAGGAATCCTGACATCCAGTGGTTAATCTTACTCATAGCAACTAAATATCAAACTTTCTCTGACAAAAAATATTTGACTATACAAGGAAAAGCTTCCTGTTTTTATTCCTAATTGGATTGCATTTCTAAAGTAGTAAGAACTAGCTGTTCTTTTGAAAACAAGGAAAATTAATTTCCAAGTAGAATCAGATTCTATGCAATTTATAAGAAGCAGAGTGACATTGGAAAGAGAACCTGTTTTGAAATGAGACAGATTTAAATGTTTGCTTTGCTCTTTACTGTTTATCTAACTTTTAGAAATCATGTACCTAACAGAAGCCTTAAGGTTTTGTTTCCCTTATAATATCCAAAGTGTTTTTGATCTTGAGATCACCCTTTTTTTCACCTACTAATATATATATATATATATTTTAATTTTTATTAATGAAACACCATGAGGTACAGTTGTAGACTTACAAATTTTTGCGCTTGGGTTTTGATTATACAATGATCAAATACCCATCCCTCCACCAGTGCCCATTTTCCATCACCATGGATCCCAGTATCCCTCCCACCTCCATCCCCCACATCCTACCCTGCCTCTGTGGCAGGGCATTCCCTTTTGTTCTCTCTTTCCTTTTGGGTGTTGTGGTCTGCAAAAGAGGCATTGAGTGGCAATCATATTCAGTCTATAGTCTACTTTCAACATGCATCTCCCATCCTGGAAGGAACCTCCAAACAAACTTTGTTTGGTGCTCGCTTCTCTATCTGAGCTGCCTTTTCCCCTAGCGTGCCCGGCTGGCCTCTAAGCCATAGAGTAATCCTCCTGATACTTACTTGAGATTACCCTTGACTCCAAAGTACAGAAAGGTAAAGAATAATGAAGGAAAAAAAATCGAGGGGGTATGACAAAAGTAAGAAGAGGTAGAGACAGACTGAAGTTGGTAAGGTGGGGGCAGGGACCAATGGCCTTGTGTACATTGGTAGTATAGGTGTATATCCACAAAAACCAAACTTAAAAATGTGCCTGTCAGGGACTGGAGCAGCAGTACAGAGGGTAGGGTGCTTGCCTTATATGCTGCCAACCTAGGTTCTGGTATCCCATATGGTCCTTGAGCATGGCCAGGAGTCATCTCTGAGCATGGAGTTAGGAATGAGTACTGAGCACTTTGGGTGTTCATTTCATTTCATTTCATCATCCTGTTATTCGTCGATTGCCTCGAGCAAGCCCCAGTAACGTCTCCTTCATCCTAGCCCTGAGATTATATTCAAGGCTCTTTAGGAGAATGAGACCCATCATTGTTACTGGTATTTGGCATATTTGGTACGCCACGGGGAGTTCGCCAGACTCTGCCCTGTGGGCAGGCTACATTCAATAGCCTGCAAGTTTGTCCAAAGTAGGAATGAGACAATAAGATGTCATAAAAAAAAGTTCTGATAAGATGTCGCGCGGCCGCAAATGCAGCTGCGCGGTTCCGGGATCTGAATTTTATAGTCTCTGAGTCTTGGCCGCTGATGGGATTACACGGCGCCAGGGGGCCAGGTGGTGGGTGTGACCCCCGCCTACTGGAATTTGGAGGATCTGGGTGGAAGATGCTCGACTCCAATCCGAGTGTGACCCAAAAAATTGAAAACGAAAAGGAGAAAGAGAGAGGTGTCTATCAAAGAGGTTGGGGGTGGGGGATGGATGGGTATGGGAGATGCGAGGGAACCAGCAGACACTGGTGGACTGGTGGAGGGAAGTTGACACTGGTGGTGGGATGGTGCTGGAACATCGTATGCCTAAAAATCAATTGTGTAAATAACTTTGTAAATCATGGTGTATTCGTTAAAAAAAATACATTCATGACTTGTCTAGTGTATGCTTCCAGATTTTTAATTTGTATAGAAATTTCCCCTTTCATGCTCATCCACTGTTGGTGTAAACATCGTCCATTTCAACGAAACTTCTTTGGAAGACAGTATGGAGATGCCACTAGTGTATAATTTCGTAAATTATTATATTATCGGGTGAACATCTTTAACTACCTCCTACATCATGAACATAACTTCCCTGCCACAATTCATCCCAATCTTCTTTCCTTCCTACCAAATAAATAACTGTTACTCTGATTTGCACAGTAATTACTTCCTTTAGAACCTTGTTATCCAAGTATGCTGTCTGTACATTACAGTGTCAGCAATGATTTAAAAAAAAAAAGAAATTGATGGATTTTAAGTGTCTCTCAATCTGCAAACTATCTTCATTCCCTTCTCTTCCTTTTAATGAATCTGAAGAACTTTAATTCTCTGTAGTAATTTTCCATAGCCCGAATTTTGCTGACTGAACTTTCATGATACAGTTTCTTACCTCATTGCCTTCTCGGTTTCTTACATATTGATATATGTTTTCACAGACTTAACCAGATTTAAGTTTGATCTCTTTGACAAAACTGTAATTTGTACTGTGTTTTCAAGAGTTACATAGTTTGGCATAAAGCAACAATTGATGTTAAATAACTATATTCTTTGCTTATAAGAGATTGAGGTATCTAATTATCTATTTATTTTTTTAATTTGGAATATTTTTATAAAAGATATGCTTTTGCTCATGAGTTCTTTGATTATGAATGGCAAAAACAATATAAAGAAAAACAAATGTTTGAGTCTTTTAGAAAGTTTTAAGATAAAATCCTCTGTACTTATCAGCCTCTGGAACTGAATCATTGCAAAGTGTATTTTAAAATATTTAGTTGACTTTAATTAATTTAAATAATTAGCTGTTTGAAGGTCTAATAATTTTTCCCATCTTTGGCCAGTGAGAGCCTATTAAAATTGACTCCTGAGTTTTTAAAATTTGTTTTTACTAAAATAATACCGAATCATAAGTTCATAAGTTCTAATCTTATACAATTAAACTTTAATTGGGAAATGAAAAATGTCTACCTGCCTGTAATACAAATTTTTGATGGTAGGAGTTTTTTAGTAAAAAGAAAGAACATTGTCAAAAACAGAACAGCTAGTTCATCCATTCACTCACGTACAAAGTGTTTTTTTAGTATTTACTGTTATAGACATTGTACTAAGCCTTAAGAATAAGTAAATAATCAAAATAATCTCTGCCCACACAGAAATTACAGCTTACAAATATTATAATAGTGTAGCAGTTAATTCCTTTAAAACATTAGTTCTTGTCAGAGTGTTAATGTAGTTATGGTATATCTCATTATAAAATTAAATAATTTTAAAGTATTAAGAAAAGAAAAATTATAGTCTTACACCAAGGGAAACATTAAAATTAACATTTTAAAAACCCAGATAATATAAAATGTGAAGGAGAAATAAATTTCCCCTATAGACTTTTTATTAAAAGTTGTGTAGGCAGTATTTTGTTTTTACCTAGTATCTGACGAATTTCTGGCCATTCTTTCTGTACTTCAAGAGCAGATTTCAGTTTCGCACATAGAGGGACATAATCCATGTAATCTATTAAAATACGAATAACGCTGCCTACCAAATGCTTCATCCAAGGAACTGTAATAAACTCACAAAACTGAGAAAATTGATAAAATTTAATTTTGTATTACTTTTAATATGTCATATGATATTCAATTTTTAAATAAAAAATTACTATCATTGACTTTATACCAAATAAAGGTACTCTCATAGTGCTGAATAAAAATTAAAATAGATTCCTTGTTTGTTCATGTGAAACTTTGAACCTCAATGCTATTTGCATGGGTCTGATGTGGCTATAGTCAACACAGCAGGGAAGAATCATGCCTTTCTTTATCAAGCCCCAATACGCACCAAGTAAGAATGCTATTAATTACATACATTCTCACATTTTTTACATTTCCCATTAAAGAGAAAATAAATGTCACCTTTTATGTCTAATTATACTCATATACCCATATTATCGGCCAATAAAAATTCAAGAAGAATAAAAAAGGTGATTTTTTAATTTTTGTTATAACCCCAAATGAATGAAATGTAGTATGATTACCAATATGAAATATAAAAGACTCTAGCTCACCGGATTATCTTTTATTATACAAGATGTCCATCCAGGCAATTCCTCTTCTTCTATCTCTGACCAGACAAACGTATTTCCAAAGATGTCACCATGCATGCAATCAAAGCACATCTCCACTTTATAGCCATTATTCAGCAACAGTCTCATCATTACCTCATCACTTAGGGCATACTGAATGGCACTGGGAAAACGAGTGTCATTCACATGCATAAAATAACAGTTGACATTAGCTCCATGGGAAAGAAGCAGCCGGACAATTTCGTGATTATTGGCTCTTACTGCCACAAGTAGACAATTGAGGGGATCTAGGTTTGGGTCTGCACCTGCAGTCAGAAGAACTTCTGTGCATTGGATATCATTATTTGAAACAGCAAAATATAGTGCAGTCTTTCTGTTATCATCATAGTTCTCAGAAATGTGGTCAGCAAGCAGGACATTGACATCAAAGCCATTTTCAATGAGCAGTTGGAGGCACTGAACATTTTGTCCATCAGCTGCTGAGTGGACCGGTGTTAGCCCACTCTTCTGGATTGCATTTATAGATGTTACCGGAATAAGATATTTCAGGGCACTAAAATAAAGTCAAATATCCACAAAAAATAATGAAAATTAAGAAATTAAATAAACCACTTTCCTTATTAGATAAATAAGTGTAGTTTCAATTTCCAATATTTTCTCTAGATGACCTACAAAACCAACCTTTGTCCACTAATTTACCACTTTTGTTCGGTTTTTAGTTAGCACCCATTAGCAACAATCCTGGAATGCATACTGGGTCTTTGATCCTAGAGTTGTAATTATTCAGCAATCCTCTGCATCCCTTAATTCTATTATGAACAACATAATATTTATCAGAAATGAATGTAATATAATGAAATATATAAAAGCCAATTTTATGCTACCGAAGATAGTTTCATAATCTTGACCCTTATCACATAAAGTTAGCGCAAGTGACCATAAGCATCACTTAGTCCAACTTCTTCATTTAACAGAAAAGCAGAATTTTAAAAAAAGCAGTATAAAAACTGGAAAGGTAAAATGATTTGTCCAAAGTCCCATAGTTACTGGACAGGGGCTAGAATTTAGGTCTTATTTTTAAACCTTCATTTATTTAAATGAAGTAAAACCTCCCTTTTACTGCGTTCTGAGCAATCTATCATTTAACGTAGGCTGTGCAAGAGCCTACTTCCATATAATTTGCAACTGAATAGATAGCTGTAAGTTATTATTATTATGTCAGCCTTTCTTTTTTTGAGGGGAGAGGTGTGTTTGGGCCACACCCAACTGTGCTGACTTACTTCTGGCTCTAAACTCTAGGGTATCTCTTGGAGGGCTTGAGGGACATATTGATTGTTAGAGATCAAACCTGGGTCAGTAGCATGCAAGGAAAGCCTATCTGCTATACTATCACTCTGGCCCAATTCTGTCAACCTTCTGTCCAATTGAGATAGTTTGTACAGCTTAGGCTTCTAAAGACCTGTGAGAAACAGTTGTGAATTTCACACTTGTCTGAACAACTAGACATGTATAAGAGCCACAAGCAAGGATAACCCGATCTCTTGTGCCTAATTCAGAGCTACCATGTGTGAATTTATGAACACTGGGAGCAATTCCAGGTAAACTTTAACAACATGTCACTTAGCGTCAATTATGTGTCATTACTTACTTCACTTTGCCAGTGTGGGCACTAAAAGTGATAAAGCCGGTTTTAAAGTCTTTGAACTTATGAAATATATTTAATTGTCCCAAATCATTCATCCACTGCGGACCATTTAATAGAGTATTAGAGACTATTGCTGATGCATTGATTGTGGCATTTTTTGTGATTTAAAATCTGTACAATATTTAATTTGAATAAAAAGTCTAAACTTACAATCAAACTTTCCATAAGAATAAATTTGACCCTAAACTGCAACATTTTTAAGTTTCATTAAATAATCTTGGTAATATTGATAGTATACTGGCATATTTTTACTTTGCTTTACTAATTTTTTTAAAAGGTAAAAATGTTAGAAAATTTTATGTTTTTTTTTAAATATTCATTTTAAATGTTAGATAGAAAGTTCAATCTGGGTAGCTTGCACAGAATTCTCACTTCTAACTTTCCTCCAAAAAAGAAGCTAGATTATAAAAAGCAGTATATATTTAATGCAGAAATTGTGTGCATTTTTCTTTATGTTTAGAAAACATATACAGAAAAAACTATGTATATAAAACTATGTATATAAAACATGAACATTTTGCTTATTTCTTTTTGGATTGAGCATATTATATACAGAGATTTGTTATTTTGTATATGCAATGTTTGTAATTTTCAAATTAAAACAATTGACTTATGACGTACTACTTACAGATAATGTCCTTCATAAGCAGCTCGGTGTATAGGAAGGTGTCCTGCTCTGTTAGGTACATTTCCACTTCCCCCATATTCTAGCAAGAGCGAAATGCAATCAGGATTGCCCCCTCCTGCTGCCTCAAACAGCACAGACGCTCCATCATCAGCCAAAGCAAACACATCACCTCCTGACAGCAAAAAGCACATGACAGAGTAACAACTGGATGGATTGTCAAGATAATTCTCTAAAAAGGAGCTTGTTTCATTTTTCTGGTAAGGATTTAAAAAGCATAGGATTAAGAACTTCTGTGTTTATAATATTTTCAATATGATGCATCATGTTTTGTTTTATTAGAAAATCAAGTGAATCATAAGAACATTTGAGAAATCAACAAGTCAATTTCCATGATCAACAAAATGCTTCCAGGACAGGGAATTAGATTGCTAAACTTAAAAACAACAGTTAACTCTTGATTTCATTTCTACAATTATGTATAAACTTCTTCTTGCATGCAGAAAGCCCTCTGTATGTGAACAGATAGAAGATCCTAAACTGAGTAAGACTACCTTGAGAACTTTAGAGAGTAAATATGAAAAAAAAATAATCATCAAAGTACACAGATTTCATTCCACTCTAATGCATAACATCTGAATTTAGCATGAAGTAGGATAGTATTTATATTAAGAAGTTAGGCTATTTTGAATTATAGCTCTGCTGCTTAGGTTATGTGAACATTTAGGGAAGCTATTAAATTCTGTGATCCTATTCTTTCATCTGCTGAAAAGGCTAATAGAGTTATGCCATTATGCTTATTTATTAACTAAAGTTAAACTGTGGTTGTGAGTCCTCAAAATTGTTTTCTCTCTCATAAATGATTCTTGGGAATAATGGTTGTAGGCTTTACTTACAGATGAGGAAATTTTAAGGAGCAAGTTTAAGTAACTAGGCTAGTTAGTATCAAACAATAACTTGATGCCAGAATCAACTTAAAAACCGGGTCTTTTAATTTATGATTCTGTAGATATTTAAAGACTTGGAGAGCAACAACACAATCTACTGGGAAGAACTAGTTCAGACTTCTGGTGGGCTGTATCTTAAGAGTTTGAATTATTGTGGCAAATAGCAAGTATTTGAGATAAGGGTAAAGACCTGAATGAAATCCAGGTAGCTTGAATGAGAATTTGTGCTTGGAAATGGTCCAATTTAGCTGGAGTGCAAGATAAATGTTAGAAGTAGTGAGGTATAAGCCTGGAAAACAATTCAGGATGATGCAGTAGGAAATTGTAAATGATTTCGTACATAGCGGGAGTCACTGAGAAATTTTTTAGTATCTTACACAGTTGACGCTATTCTTTACGAAAGGATCCAGGTTGCACAATATATTTTCCTATATATAGCCTGAAAACCATGATAGCTGAGAAGTGATTGCTCTGGGCTTGGGAAAAAAGTGGGAAAGCCAACCATAGAGGGTCTCAAGGTAATAAAAGTTGAGAGATACACTATAGTTATCGACCATTGACTGTATTTAGATGAGAATGTAATGATGGAATTGGACATAAATCTAAGATTCCTATCTTGGTTCAAAAGAATAATTATACTAAAAGTGTGCAAAAGAGAAATTCAGTCTAGGAATATGAAAGCCTGATGAGTCACTCATGTGAAAATAAGGCTGTCCATAAAGGAGGGAACAATGAGGATTGGGGGTACACATTCTTAGGTAACAATGATGAGGGTTTAATTAACCATGAGATGGTTGGGGCAGAGGGGTCTAGTCTAAGTACAAATGCCCAATTGCCTTCATAAGAGAAAGAACAGCCATTAAGAAATGGAAAAGTCCAAATAAATGTCAGGAATACAGGATTCCTTTGCACACACCTTTGTGAATGAGGTGTTCCAACACATCACAGTGACCATACTCAGCGGCTACACCCAGTGGTGTGACTCCAAATCCATCCTTCACATGGACATTACCTCCATGGCTTAGCAGCAGAGCAATGATGTCTTTGCGGCCTTGTTTGGCTCCTTCATGCATTGCTGACCATCGCTTGACACAGGGCTGGTCAAGATTAGTGTTGTGTTTAATCAGAGCAGACACCATATCATAGGAGCCCTTTCTCACAGCTTGAAGACGATGACAAAAAGGACAGTCAACAGTAGTCATGTTAACACCAATGCATTATCTGGTATTAGGCTAATTAGGGAATATAATATCAGAATATAAGTTACAGATCCTCTTTTTTTTCTAGAAGAGAATTAGGTGCTTTTCCAAGCTCTCCTATTTCTTATACCTACATTTCTAACGTGGAGTGAATGCTTGCAAAATGATACCACCTTTTCTTTAATACTGGACTTGAGAGGACTGGAGCACAGCGGGTAGGGTGTTTCTTTTGCATGTGACTGACCTGGATTCGATCCCTGGCATCCCATATGGTCCCCTGAACATTGCCAAGAATAAGTCCTGAGTGCAGAGCAGGACTTAACCCCTGAGCATCGCTGGGTCTGACCCACAAAGGTAAGAAAAAAAAGAAGAAGAAAAAGACTGGACTTGAGGAGTAAAGCTACCATTGAAAATAATGGTCTGAAAATGAACAGGCTGGGGCTGGGAACGGGTATGGGGATGGGGTGTGGGCAGGAGTGAAACTGGGGATATTGGTGATGGTAGATGTACACTGGTGAAGGGACTGGTGTTAGAACACTGTATAACTGAAACCCAACGTGAACAACTTTGCAAATGTGTATCTCATGGTGGCTCAATTAGAAAAGAAAAGAAGGAAAGAAAACGGTGCATATCAGGGCTGGAGAGATAGTAGGGTGCTTGCTTTACATGTGGTCACAGGGTTTGACCTCTGGCATCCCATATGGCCCCATAGTATGGCCAGGAGTAATTCCTGAGTGCAGAGCCAGGAATATCCCCTGAATATCATGGGGTGGTGTAAAAACAAACAGACAAAAAAATATAAGGAAAACAAAGTAGAGTAAAATCAATGAAAATGGTGCATACCATTGATAACATGTCATTTATACTCTTTCTATCCTCAAGAGGAAAACAATATACACTATTGGGTGTTATTAAATAACATATGTAACATGTTCAGATGCTTAGGAGCTGAATAATGATATTTATTATTAATCCAATTTCATCACATCTAAGATTGTTGAGCTACATGAGTAAGTAATGTTTCTCAAGCTCTCTCTTCTTCTGCTCCACCCCAACCAGAGATCTGAAAAAGCTGTATTAAATAAGTATCTCTTTCCCATGTTCTTAATGGGAGAATTGCAATAAAAATGTTTGGAATCTAGATTGGTATGTTGTGCTAAATAGATGAAGCATGTAATAGCTAAAATATTATGCAGTTCACTTCATCAGATAAACATTTCCTCCTCTACTTGTTCTAAAATCACTCTGCTAAATTATCACCCTAGGGGGAGAAAGATAATGCAGTAGGTAGGATGCTTGCCTTGCATGTGACTGACCCATGTTTGAACCCCATCATTCTAAATGCTCCTCAAAGCCCACCAGGAGTGATCCCTAAACTCAAAGTCACAAGTAAGTCTTAAGCACTTTTAGATGTTGCCTCAAAGCAAAATAAATAAAATACCCTCTATTTATATTACTAAAAGGATTACTGCGGTTTTTATATACTGTCACTGTCACTGTCCTCCCATTGTTCACCAGTTTACTCGAGTGGGCTTTTGAAAAATGTAATGCTTTGTTTTTCTCATAAATATATTGAAATCTTAAGAAGAAACAGTTGAATGAACACTAACTCTCTGCTAACAGAGATATAGCTTCATGCTCTTTCTTTTTCCTTCCTTTATTTCTCTTTTCCTTCTCTCCTTTGCCCTTTTTTCCTTTCTTCCTTTACTACTTCCTTGGATAATATATGCTGGCTATATAAGTGGTACTGCATCATGTACTGTGAATAAAAGTTAAAGTTAAATAATCTTGGTTCTCATTCATGAAATTCCCAGTCTAGAAAGGAAACTCATAGTGACTTCTATTGACAAGGCACTAAGTTTGCCTTTGCTGAGAAAGGCAGGAGCTGTCTTTATAACAGAGGATATCCTGGTAATTAGGAGAGAAAATGGAAAAGAATTAAAGGCCTGGTCGTGGGAAAGGGCTCCATGAGACAGAAAGGAAAGACAAAGAAAAACTGCTTACTTCATTTGGAGACAGACAACCATGTGCAGTGAAATCAGTTTTTCTCCTGCTCACTAAAGTAAAAACTGTTGACAAATGCTTTTCTCTGAAACGCCCACCTGCCACTGGCAGCTCTAATTACAGTGAATTACCTCATCCTAGCTGGTGTTATTATAGAGCAAACATCAATAAGTTAAATGAGCTAAGAGGTACATGTCCTCATTTATCTTCTTGCTCCTAGTGCATTTTTGGTAGTAAAAAAATACATTAACAAACCTCTTCCTGCACAATGTTTACCTTTTATCTGACTCAGAGAATTTTCTGATTAAAGATACTAGTTTCTCTTCATGAAAATAATAGCATAGACATTCCATATTCAATTTTAAACAATTTAAAGGTAAACTTTACTTGCAATTTATTTATTTTTGAACTAAGAACATATTTCCCACAGAAATAATGCACTTGTAGAAATCCATCACAAGCTAGCATGCCAACAGATTCTTGTTGAGGGTGTGTGTGTGTGCGTGCACACCCAGCAGTGTTCTGAGCTTACTCCTGGTTCTGTGCTCAGGGATTCTCCTGGCAATGCTCAGGGGACCATTTTCAATGCTGGGAATCAAATTCAGGTCAACTGCATGCAAGGCAAGTGAGTTACCCACTGTATTAACCTCTAGAACTCCTTGAACAAATAAATGACTGAAATAAAACTAATAGTCACAGTATTTGTGTAATATAAGTGAGATATAAATTGACTAATCATACCCTCGATAATAATGCTTCAAGAGAACTAAGCTTCAGGTGCAGTGTCACAGAACTATATGTGGGTTTTTCTAATGGTGAATTTAACATAGGGAATAATATGCTTTTGAAACTTTATAGTTGGCTGGCACTTTACATTATTATTATCATTATTATTATTATTATTGGTTTTAGTTCACACCTGGAGATACTCAGGGGTTATTCCTGGCTCTGCGCTCAGAAATCACTCCTAATGATGCTTGGGGACCATATGGGATGCTGGGAGTCAAACCCAGGTCAGCTTCATGCAAGGCAAATGCCATACCCGCTGTGCTATCACTCCAGCCCCTACCTTATTATTTTAAATTTCTATGATTTTCTTTCTTTTTCTTGATATATGTGTTTTACTTATGTAACTATTGACTATGGATATTTCTGACTCATACAAATAGAAGTGAGTAACTTTTTATGAGGTATCTGGTAAGGACTGGGAGATTTAAAAGAGATAAAATGAAGACGTATATTGATTTGTAAGAATGTAAAGTCTGAAATAAAGTGAATTGACTGTAAATATACACATTTGTGTGGGAAATAGAGGATAGTAAAACAAGACATTATGCCAGGTGGTTCTCTGGGTTTTCTCTATATCCTGGCCTTGATGGGTCACATTAATCTTGTAGCTGTTCTGTAGAGAAAGGTAATAGCAACTCAGTGGGATGTGCAAAGGAGTTTAATTGCTGAAACAAAAAAGCCAAAACAGCACAACATATACACATACACAAAAAAACAATCTTAATAACTGTCAGATGCATCACAAATTACAAATCTTCCATTCAGAAAGTAATATATACTGTAACTAATACATCGAACTACCAGAAGTAGAAGCCAGATAAGAGCCAGATGACTGATCAGTAAGAAGGGCCTTAGAGAGGATAAAAGTATTTTAATTTTCTTGCATTTAAGAATATTCTAATATAAAGGCAGAGCATTAAAATATTAACTCTATTTCAATTCTGATACTTCAGTAACAAAGTTTCATTCTCATCATAAGATATTTTAGAGCAGATTAACATATGAAACTTTGAAATAAACAAGTTGCTTAGTGCTCTGTTGTGGTATAAAGCATTTAAGAAAGAAGCTAATTAGAATTATTTTCTACTTACTACTCCTAATACACTTATTTATTAAGAAAAAACTAAGTTTGGAATTAGTTTTTTTCCCCTTCCTGCTTCATTTACTTTTGTCTTGCCCTTTTGCAAATTGATGGAGTGGCAAATTGGGGGAAAGTCTTGTTTGCAGCAAAGAGTATGGATAGAAAAAACAATTAATACATGATGATGGTGTGAATACTTTATTGTATATACTGTTAAAAAACACTAAGATTGGGGCTGGAGAGATAGCACAGCGGGTAGGGCGTTTGCCTTGCACGCGGCCAACCCGGGTTCGATTCCCAGCATCCCATATGGTCCCCTGAGCATCGCCAGGAATAACTCCTGAGTGCATCGCCAGGTGTGACCCAAAAAGCAAAAAAAAAAAAAAACCACTAAGATTGCATTAATTGTAGTGACTCAACCAATAGATAACTATTTCTTGAAGGGAGAGTTTTGGTTTGTTTATGCAAAGCATCATGACACTGTGACAAAGAGATTTATGAACAGGTATGCAGATAGCTAGTGGATATAACTTTCTGGCAGCATTTACTCCAAATTTCCATTTAATAATATATAGCTCTCCTATAAAGTCTGAGATCATGAAGACTATTCTATGTATCTCTATAGCCATGTTGGTTTCATGGATGTGTTAAACTGATGTTAAAATGCAAATATGTTACTAATACTCATAACTTATTTAAATATCCTTTGAACTACTTACAGGTTATATAAAAGTTCCAGTGATTTTTTCTATGAAAAATTGTTGTGGGGTGGGTTGGAGCGATAGCACAGTGGGTAGGGCATTTGCCTTGCACAGTCCGACCTGGGTTTGATTCCCGGCATCCCATATGGTCCCCTGAGCACCGCCAGGAGTAATTCCTGAGTATAGAGCCAGAAGTAACCCCTGTGCATCTCGCTGGGTGTACCCAAAAAGCAAAAAACAAAAGAGCTGTGGGAGTGTTAATTAGTTATGACCTCATATTATGATACTTTATTCTTCTCCTCTGTGATAACTAGTAAATAATCTTATGGCTTCCTTCTCATTCAGCTTTCTTTCCTCTACCCCCTCTCTCTTCCTTCCCTTCTTCTCTTCCTCCTCCTCCCACCAATTTCATAATGACTCCTCTCATGAGCATATGACATATGGTGGTGGTTGTATGTGTTTTATAACAATTCTGCACAGTAGGTGCTGTCTTTCCATGAGAAAACGAGGCTCACTGTTATAATCACACAGGACTTAAATCTATAGATGCCAGGTGCCAAAGTCCAAATTCTGACTCTACCACCCTACATCCCTAAGAAAAAGGAAATGTTTTCTTTGTATTTGTACCTGGCAGGCTACCGAATGTAACCTGCCCACACAGCAGAGTCTGGAAAACTCCCTGTGGCGTACCCAATATGCCAAATACCAGTAACAGTGATGGGTCTCATTCTCCTAACCCTGAAATGACCTTGAATAGGCACTTTAAAATCTCAGGACTAGGACGAAGGAGACATTACTGGTGCCTGCTCAAGGCAATCGACAAACAACAGGATGATCGTGATTGTGATCATATTTGTAGTTAGTCTCTCCTAAGTTCCAGCAAACATAACTGCCTTTTAAATTTTCTTAAGGAACACTTTCAGAGATAAAGAGTGTGTGTTTGTATGTGTGTATGTTTGTGTGTGTATGTGTGTGTGTTTAGAGGGGGAATGTTTTGGGGCCATATCCAGTAATATTCAATTCAGCAGTGTGAGCCTGACAATTCAATACTCAGTGGTACTCAGAGAGCATGTGATGCCGAGAATCAAACAAGGCTACACATTTACCAGGCTTGTACTCCACTCCTGTATCTTGGATCTACTCATTCTCCTTGTGAACACAGTATCAGAGATTGTAAAGTTCATGCATACCGTTCCTTTGCTGCCACCATTGTGAACCCTCTTAGAGATTCTGAGCTCTGCATTTGTGTGGTCAGAATCTGCTGGCTCCTTTTCTTTACATTTTGGTCTCACCATCCTTCTCATGTGGACATGTTATCTCATTGGAATTCCCTTTCTACTCCCTTTTATGGTCATACTTCACCCTTCTTGTAGCTTGTTCCTATCAGGAGAATATTCCTTTAGAACTGGCACCTCTGGAGGCTGGGATGTAACTCAATGATAGAGTACTTCCCTTGCATATGTAAGGCCTGCCTTGCACATATTTCATATGTGAGGCTTGGGTATGATTCCTGCACTGCAAACAAAGAAATAGAACAAAGCACCCAACAATAACAACAACATTAAAAACTCAGGACATCTGGCTTGATTGAACTCCTAATGAGTTCAATGGCTCCTTCCTGGTTAGCTGGTACTGGTAGATATAGATGTCTTTTATATATGACTTCTTTGTAAAGTGGAAGAAAATCATAGCATATGTGAGATGGGAGCTAGAAGAGAAATTCAGGGAATGGAAAAAATAAGGTTACATAATTTTAGCCAATAAAGAGTGGCTTCCAATAGCTAATGATTAAATATGGTTCGTTTCAGATTGAAACAGTTGTAAGTAAAAGGGCACTTACCAATCAGAAGGGGTGTCTCTCCTTTGTCATTTTTGGTGTTTGCACAGACTCCCTTTTCTAGTAAAGTTCTCACATTTTGTGCCAGACCTGCTTTGATTGCCAAAGTCAAGGGTGTTTCTCCAGCAGGTGTTTTGAATTCCCAGAGTGTCTCATGGGATGCTGAGGTGTGAACACATTATATAAAGTTAAAAATATTTACTAAAGAATAACACATAAATGAAAATTGGGCCAATTCTGTACATATTAAATTGAATTAGTGAGAAAGGAAAACAAAAGTTATAATTAATGTTAATCAAATGATGGTCCATAGAGTAGTTGAACACGATTTGTAAAGTTCAACTTGTTCATAAAGTTGACAGCTAGGAAGCCAACATCTCTGTTTCCAGGTGCTCTTTATTTATTTATTTTTTGCCATTTTATTTGTTTATATTTTTCAATTTTCCCCTTACACTTTATATTAACACTGTGGTTTACAAAGTTGTTCACGATCATTTGTTACAGTCATTCAATATTCCAACACCAATCCCACCACCAGTACACCTTCCCTCCATCATTGTCTCCAATTTTCCCAACCACCCCTAAAGCTTGCCCCCAGAGCAGGCCCTCAGTAATTTATTTTATATTGTTGTTATCAATAATTTGCTAAAAGAAAGATCAAAAAATGTTTCCTTTGAAAAAAGTTAATAAAGATTTTTGTATCTCACCTTGAAGCCATTAAGTTTCAGGTGCTCTTTAAAATAAAATAAATGGTGTATTCTCATCTTAATAAGCTTTAAATCAACTTCTAAATCTTTTGCATTATTATGTAAATTGTGCCAGGTAGTGAAGTCTGTGGGTATGATAATCAATATGTATTTAAATTAACATATTCTGTTAGAATGTGTTAGAACAGAAGTACCACGCTTAGCATCATCTTCTATATCTGTCTGTCTGACTATCTGCCGAGGTATTAATTTTTTTTAGCTGCTTGTCTGACTGGCTAGATAGCTAATTATATCAAGTAACTATCACGCCCTAGAATATAAACCAGGGAGCAACACTGAAGGTTGAAACATAGGGCACTCTCAAAAGGTTTTATAAGATGTTGAGGTCTGTGTTAGAAAAAAACGCTATGTTAGAACATCAGAATTTTATTATTATTTAATTCAAATTTTATTAATCATATCTAATGTCAATATTATATCAAATATTCTAGAAATAAGGGCAAATATTATAAATGAGGGCAACATATCACATAATAATCTCTAGGAAATGGTTAGCCCAAAATTTACTTCAGATAAATTGAAATATGACTTTCCAAAAAGGATATTGAAAGAATATTGAATATACAAATTAATTAAATAACAACATTTATAAATATTTATCACTTTTAGGTGTTAAACTACATCTTAATGCAAATCTGTGTTGTCTTCCTGGAATGATATAAAGGTAAAGCCTCAGAACCTCACTAATTTTTAGAGTCTGAGTTTAAATTATGGGTATTGCCTTTTCCAAATTCCAATAATATTTTGTTCTAATTTTTCTTTGTGCTTTTTATGTTCATTGGGAATACTTTGACATTTCCGCAGAAAGACTTTATGTTCTCTTACCATCCAGAACAATCTCAAGTATTTGCTGAATGGGTTGAACAACAGCTTCATGTAATGGAAACCATCCTTTCTCATCAGCTTCATCCAGTGTATATTTGTATTTCACATATTCCTGGAGCTCAAGAATGTGACCTAAATAATCACACATCCGATAACCAATCTGTCATAAAAGATAGAATCTCTAAATCACCTCACTGCAGGCAATGCATACACCTACTTGCCTTGCCTTATGGCCTCCACAAGTTTTCTGTTTTCATCACTTAGGGTTTTGACCACAAATCTAGCAAAGAAAGAAAAACACACGTCATTTTTATACTAGTGGTATACTTCCCCAAACCCCAAAGTTTGTGGTTTTTCTCACTATATTTAATAACCAAAATATGCATGAATCTAAGTGTCTGCAATGCTACTTACAATAAGCAAGATTTAGAAATAGCACAAGTGCTCAATGATAGATGGTGAATAAAAAAGAGAATACTGCTCAAGGACTAGAAAAGATATTTCATGACTTGCAACAATATGGATGGAACTGAAAAAGGCCATTCTAAGCAACATTTACTGTTAGAAGAGAAACAAATACCAGATATTTTCACCACTTACACAAATAAAGAAACAAAGCAAGGGAACTGACAAAGTCCAATAAAAAACCATACCCCTATGGATGAAATAGTACAGCAGATAGGACTCTTGCCTTGTACATGACTAACCTGGGTTCAATTCTTAGCACCTCAACCTGAATCCCAATGGGAGTGTGATCCCTGAGTGCAGAGCCAGGAGTAAACCCTGAGCATAGTTGAGTGTGGATTCACTACCACACACACACACACACACACACACACACACACACACACACCCCAAAACCATTTCCATCTACTCTGACCCTAAAACTATGGTTACTAATAGGGGAAAAAAGAGAATGGGTTGAAGGAGTGGAGAGAGTTCAATGAGGTGATGGAATATTAGAACATTGGTGATGGATATGATATACTAACATCTCATTCCTATGGCACAGAAATTTTCACATAAAAACCACAAATATTCAAGTCTACAATGCACTAAAATCTAAATTTCAAAATCTAATAGAAAATATATTTATGAAATACTGAACCTAAGAATATCAGTGAAGATGACAAAAGACATAATTATAATGTTGTGTCGAGCAAACTGGGCCAGAAAGAGAGTACAGTGGGTGGGATGCAGATGAACTGGGTTTGGTCCCCAGCACCACATATGGTACCCAGAATCCCTCAGGAGTAATCCCTGAACATGGGGCCAAGAACAAGCCTTATATACCACAAGGGATGGTCCCAACACCCTTCCTGCCCTACAAGAAAGCAGTAAAGAAAAAAAGGAGCAAACAGTGGGGGAAGAGGAGTTAGAGGCAGATCTTATTCCGGTTTTATTATATTGTGATGACTAGAGGGGTAGTTATTCCCTTCGTGGTGATTTCTTTATCTGTAAAAACGATGGACTAAATAGAAAGATATTTAAGACTTTCCCCAACTGTAAAATCTATGGGGTGCTGGAGAGATTGCTCATAGTTGAGCATTTTTTTTTTTTGCAAGAGACCCCATGCTCAGTGTTCAACACCTCTCAGTTCCCAAGCACAGAGCCAGCAGCAACCCATGAGCACTGCTGGGCATAACACCAAAGAAACAAAACTTAACAGAAAAATACATTTTTTTCAAACTATGTCTTTAAGATTTTGTTTGTTTCAAATTAATAACTGTTAATAATCACTTCCTTGGGAACTTATACACACTGGTGCATCCTAAGAGTTTTTAATCAACTGTCCTACAAATGTAAACAGGCTGAGCATTTTGTCAATAAACTCCCACTCGTTTGTCTAAAAGGTCATAATTTAACCCTTGTGGCAATTTTCTAGCCTGTGTGTTTATTCAAGGAGAACAGGTATTTAATGACAACTTGATTTAACTCTTTTAAGTAAAAACTCCTGCTCCCTTGCTAGGGCTGTAGTTCTAAATTCTGTTGAAGATAAAGGAAGAATGAAGGAGACCAGAAATTTAAATGCAAAATGTTCAACTTTAAAAGCTCAAAAAGAATAATTTTATAGTGATTAATCTATTCAAAAGCACCACTTAATTTTGAAGCACAGGATTATATACAATACAATAGAATAGGTAAAGGTAAAGGTAAAGGCCCTCCCGTTGATCGTTGATTTGCTCTAGCGGGCCCAGTAACGTCTCCATTGGAGTTCGATTCCTCCGCCCCTCTCGGAGAGCCTGGCAAGCTACCGAGAGTATTCGATATGCCAGACACAGTAACAACAAAGTCTCCAATGGAGACGTTACTGGGCCCGCTCGAGCAAATCGACGATCAACGGGAGGGTCTTTACTTTACTTTACAATAGAATATAAAAGAAAAAAGTTATCTTTCTTAAAAGTATAATGTATTGCTCAAGGAAGAAATTTACTTTTGGAGTAGATTCTATGTCTCTTATTAACATGATACAAGTTTCATGTATAACTTCTTAACTTCATCTGAATAGTAGATAATTAAATAGTCTCCATGACTTACACATACTTGTCATATATGGTAAGGACCTCAGTTCTTTCCCCATTCATTAAATTTATAGGCTTATTATTATTCAAACTTTAAAGATGCAAAATGAAATATATTATTTTAAAAGGTTACCTGAATCAATAGCAGAATGGGTTGTGGGAGATACAAAACAAACCTCTGCATATTGCCTCTATACGTTCATTCTGTGAACTATACCTGCATATCTGTTCAATTATTCTGTTTTTGATTCCATATTAACTTAATAACTAGACAGTTCTATGCAGCAAATTAAATTAGGATTTTCCCATCTATATTATTTCTATCTTTTACATGACAGGAAGATTTGTTTGAAGGTAAGATTTCTTAAATCTATGTGTGGTTGCACTTGAACAATCATTAAATTTCCTCCTCGATAAGCTGGGTATTTTCCTACAGGTAAAGTCACAAAATGACATTTATTTTATCTTACAACAAAATACATCATAAAGTAATTTTGTAGAATAGAGACAATATGAAGATTACCTTTCAGGATAAAATACAGTCTTGCTGGCTTCAATTGATTCTTGAATACTGAGCTGCATATCATAACTCGTAAGCTGGTCTTCATCGGAGCCTTCATTAATATCCATAACTATCAATTTGGAAGAGAAAATTATTATAATCAGCAAATGACACAGAGAAGAGTATTGTTAGTATAAAAGATGCAAAATAAAAACCAAATGCATTCACCTATAGGCATTTAACATTTAAATCCAATTAACACATTAATGAATATTACTGGAAGGTCATTTTAACTTTTAGAATCTCTGTTTTCAAACCTGTCAGTTGGGTGTCTGCATTTTCTAATTCTTTGCTTTCTTTTCGATAAGAGGCTTATCAATTGGACTGATAAGAATTTACATTTTCCTTGCTTCTGACTTTGGTCTGAGTATTCAAAAGGCTTTACACATTATATTTGATATTTAATTCTAACCAAGAGATACAACAGACAAAGAGGAAATAGTAAGACTTGTGTCTTATTTCTATTCATTCTATACCATATGTTTGATTATTTACTAATTTCTTTCTTAATAACAGCACTGGTTTATGTTCGCTGCTTTGATTGCAGTTCTTTCTATAATTCTTATTTCTTCTTTTAACCCATTTTACGCTCTTTGATTTGAAAGGCACCATTCTACTCATCTCTGCATGCCTACAGTTTTAGGCCATGTATGGCACAGAGAAACTTAACTTATTTGCTTTTTGGGTCACACCCGCTGATGCACAGGGGTTACTCCTAGTTCAGGCACTTAGGTACTACTCCTGGCAGTGCTCGGGAGACCATATGGGATGCTGGGAATTGAATCCCGATTTGGCCACGTGTAAGGCAAACACCCTACCCGCTGTGCTACCACTCCAGCCTTGAGAAACTTAATTTAGTATTAAAGTAGAATTAATGTAGAAAGAAAAGAAAGTCACTAACAGAATGTCCTAGCCTGGCCCTTAGGAAGAACAAACAGAAGAGAGAAGGAACTGATAGTTTTAAGCATGAATTTTGAGAAACTTCTGTCTAATCTAACATATGAAGTGAACAGGCTTCAAAATTCCAAAGCATTAAAATAATACAGGAGACATCTAATCTTAAAAAAAAATTAGAGACTTGGAGAACTTCCTTACTGTTTAGTTCTGTTGATTATTATAGACTGCATGCTCTGGGCAATTCACCTCTTCGAACATGCTATTTGTATTTCTGGAATGATTCTTTATGACACGTTAGCAGGTGTCCTTAATTATCCTTAATGTTGGAACTGATACCATAGGACAGACACACTAAAAGTTAGCTTTATTAAAAAGTCTAAGTATGGGAACTATAGGTAAGTTAACTTGGTGAACAAGAGGCAGAGAAAAAATAGTTCCTGTTTTTGAAAAGAATTAAAAACAAAAAGATATCTATACTGATGTGTGATTTTTAATGTCTAGCTCCTTTTTTCCTAGTCTACAAAGGTGATACAACCAAATCAGGTGCACATAAATGGTTTTGCAGACTGTGCACTGCAAAACTCTCCTCGCTGAGAAATTCAGCTAAACCTCCTCCAATTGATCTGTGCAGCTTGCCTGAGAGTTCTGTCTGTCACCAGAAGCAGCATTTCTCCTCACTTTCATCCCAGTGCTTATTATGATCTATAGCATTTCTTGACTGAGTGTGCTTTAAGATCAAAAAGTTAGAATAGGGCTTGAGCCATAGTGCAGTGTGGGGACATTTGCCTTGCACGTGACTGACCTGGGTTCAATTCCCCTGCATTTCAAATTTCCCTGAGCATTGCCAAAAGTAATTCCTGAGTGCAGATCCAGGAGTATTGCCAATCCCCTGAGCATCACTGTGTATGTTCCTTCCCCTCCCCTCCAAAAAAAACCCAAAAGGAAAAAAACGACAAAAGTGGTCAAATTACGATTATTTATATTTGCAGACAATAAATGAAAATAAATGTATATTTGGCATTTAGCATCTAGTTTTCCCAAATGGAAAGGACCTCGTGCTACTCTATAGCAGAAAGAATAGGAATATCCTACAAAGGAAACTCATGATGCTTCCTGATTTTTAATGGCTCTTTGGTTCTCATTTTCCCCTACTTCCCATAACCCCAAACTTTTGTTGCTATGGTTTGTCTTACAAAGAAAGTTTGAAGTGCAGCTGTTCCCAGAACATCATTCGAAGAGTTGGGCTATCACCCATCTTACTCTATTCTCAGACCAGAAACCAGACCTTCTGCACATTCTCCATTATTCCCTCTCACCCACCACCACCTCTCCATCTAACTTCCTGTTACAAGCAACTTGTAACAAGCAAGGGGGAACCTTGGCTGAAATTATTTCGTTCTTGTCTGTCCTTATCTGTCTAAGTATATCTTCTCCTACAAAGTATTTTTCATATACTTTTTGTTTGTATCTTTCTCTTTGTTTCTACGCCTAGTAAATGGTTTTTCTCAATGGTCAGTAAGGGGAAATGTTGATGCTTAGTAGCGGGTAAGGCAGAGGGATTCAGCATGATTAGATGATGCAATTAAACTTATGGGCTTGCTTATTTCCTTTCTCATAAATATCTCTGTGGTGACAGGAGTGTTGCTGGCTCTGGGATTAGAAATGGGATACAGAGCCTTTCACTCATTTAAATCATAGGCTTAACTCTATCCCTGTTTAATATTTGGGCTTCCAGTACATGACAGAATTCAGAGGTACTCAGATCTTGCTTCTGTCTCTGCACTCAGGGATTACTCCTGGTGGGACTCAGAGAACCATATGTAAGGCACCAGGGATCAAACACATATCAACTGCATGTAAGTCAAGTGCCTTACCTCTATACTATTTCTCTAGACTCTGTGGAAATCTTTTTAAAATGTCTCTTTAACAACTACCCAGAGGAAGCTATGAAAGACTCAATTCTTTTTGTACCCCTAATAAGAGTAGGGTATAAATGGTGGTAAAACTCTTATTACACAGAAAAAAAAACCATCTAATATGGGCTTTCTACAATCTTTTAGTCAAAGCTTGGGATGAAGTTAAGGTCTGTGTCCAGGTATACCAAAGTGTTAGTTAGACAATAAAAGGAGCATCATTAGAATGAGCTTAGAGATTTCTTGATGCCATGAGGACATAAGGAGTGTAGCTGTAGTTAGACAATAAAAGGAGCATCATTGGAATGAGCTTAGAGATTTCTTGATGCCATGAGGACATAAGGACTGTAGCTGTAGTTTAACTGTAGCTCAAATTTGAAATGACTAAGTCTCAATATCCAAGGAATGCTTCCAATAGTCTGTTTAAAATTACTTAATTTTCGGTAATTTAAAATTTTAGGTAATTTAAAATTTTAGGTAATTTAAATATACCTAAAATTATTAAGTAGTTAATACTTAAAACATTAACTAGGGGTGTTGCTGATTCTGGGATTAGAAAAAGGATACAGGAGTCTCAGGAAGAGCCAATCAGCCTTTGTAAAGACTATTCGCAGATGACCAATTTCTAAGTCTAAAGAATTAAGTCTTTCTAAATAAGTTTGCCTTTACTTGTTTCTTGAGAAACCCATTTGTATATGATGTCCTGTAGGATAACATTGGTTTGTCCTTTCTGCCTTGCCACAGGGAGCTTAGGTTTATTGGGTTATTCTCCCATCATAGTGCTCCCAGATAAAACCCAGATCCCAGAAGTGTCTGGCCGCTTTTGCGGTCATGCGACATCTTATTATCTCATCCTTTTTTTTTTTGTAGGAGTACTGCTATTTATTCAGCCACTGATTAGCTGATTGAATTGTGCATGAACTCCACCTTACTTTTTTTTTTCATTTTTTATAATTTTATTTATTGAATCACTGTGAGAGCAGTTACAAAGCTTTTGGGTCTAAGTCTCAGTCATACAATGAAACACCCATACCTTCATCAGTGCCCATTCTCCACCACCAAAAATCCCAGTATACCCCCATCCCACGCCCTCCCCCTGCCTGTGGGGCAGATGATTTCCGCATTACTCTCTCTCTACTTTGATCACATTCACCATTTCGACATGAGACCCACCATTATTTGAGATTTTACCCCAACACTCAGATCTGCTGAAAAGGCAACAATAGACAATTTGTGTTCTATTGCTGGTTATGAATAACATATGATGTCGTGTGGCTGCAGTAGGGCCATGTGGTTTTGAAATTCCGAAATTTTAACACTTAAATCTGGAGGGATTTCTGCCAAAAGTCACTGGGTTTAGAGATCTGCTCCTGAGTCTCTGGAATCATGGCCATTGAGCAGCTTGATGAGGAGCCAGAGAGGCCGTTTGTGGGCAATGACTTGGGGTCTCGTTGGGGTGGGGAGGACAGGTTTGGCTCCACCCCTCCCCATCCTGTGAGGCCCAACAAGTTTTGTCACTGCGGGCCCAAGCCTGACTGTCCAATGGCCTCTGGAGGATGACAGCCACCAAGTCGCCAAGCGGGAGCAGGTGGAGGGACAGCACCCATTCCCCCCTGGGGTGGCCCGGCGACAGTAACCTACTGTGGGATCCGGACACATTTCTGCCAAAAGCCACTGGGTTTTGAGATTTGTTTCTGAGTCTCTAGGATCATGGCCGTTAAGCAGCTTGATCAGGAGCCAGAGAGGCCATTCGTGGGCGATGACTTGGGGGTCTCGTTGGGGTGGGGAGGACAAGCCCGGCTCCACCCCCATCCCGTGAGGCCCTGTGTGTCTCGTCACTGGGGGCCCAAATGTGACTATACAGTGGCCTCAGACGGATGACGGCCACTGGGCCACTGTGGGGAACAAGCCAAGGCACGAAACCTATTCCCACCTGGGTTGGCCCAGCACCGATAGCCTACTGCAGAGACCAGACACATTTCTACCTAAAGCCACTGGGTTCTGAGATTCGTTTCTGAGTCTCTGGGATCATGTCCATTAAGCAGTTCAATCAGGAACCAAAGAGGCCTTGCCTCCAATTATATAGCTGAGCCAGAGGTGGTTTGTGGGTGTGTTTCCCACATACCTAACTTTTGGCCGTTTACTTTCTTGGTAAACTTTGCCCCAAGTTTTTGGGGTCTGGCCAAAGGCACAGCAGCAATTTTAGGGTATCTGGAAGTCTGAAAGCGCCATGAGGCTGCTAATGCACTCGCCTCACAGG